TTTATTCACACCCACTTCATTAAGAACTCGTGATATTTCAGTACATAGAAAGTTTCCAGTGTGTGAATCTTTTGAAAAATTCTTTAAAGAGTGTACATACTCTTTTCTATCTGATGTCATAATTACAAAAATATATAATGATTGTCCTGCTGGAGAAGTCCAACCATCCAAACCTGATTATTTTAAATTTTAGTCAAATTTTTAAAATTATTGATAAAATAAATAAATACCTAATGTAAGATTAACCTCATTAACAAGGCCATTGTTAATTTTTGAAATTACTTTTGCACATTCTAAATTAACAAATGTAGTAGACAATGTGGTTCTTTTAGGAAGATGAAAACCAGGACATAAATTAGTAATAAAATCTACAAAGAATGGGTTTTCAACAACCCAAAATGGAATTCCACAACAAACAAAAAATTTTGTTAAAGCATATGAACATCTAAGTTGTTTTTCATTTGTAATTGTTTTTTTCTCAAGATGATCAAAAATTTTTGTTTGTTTTTGTTTTTTTTTTGAATTATTATTTACATCATCATCATCCTCACTAATCTCATCATTTTGCAATACATTTTGAAACTTTATACATATATCAGGTGGTGGAGGTTTAGTGCATGACAATGCAATATGAGATATCATATCAGAACTTTTCCCACAAGCCCATTGTTGACCACAGTAATTACATTTTGCACCAGGTCGTTTATTATTGTTATTATTGTTAGAGCTACCAATTTCAGTAAAATGTTGCCAAATTGGTTTTCTTGGTCTACCAATTTTTCTTCTTAAATGATTATTAGTTTGTAATGAAGTCAATTCATCATTGTTATTCATCTAATTATAAAAACAATTAATATACACATAACAGGTACCACTGGATAAATAAGAATCAACAAAGATAATATTTACTTTGATTTTAAATAATTGAGTTGGTTTTGTTATATTGATTAACTAATGGGTGGACCTTGGGATATTAATTATCCATTTAAAATTTTATGTGTGAGAAAAAATAAAAACTACATTTTTACTGAGCATGCCTGTATGCATGATGTTTAACTATCCAAATTTTTCTAAACTTAAAAAGTAAAATAAAATAATAATTTGTTTGACTATAATGTTTAGACTATTTCTTATTTATTTACATAAATTGTTACATTTATCATGATTTAATTATATGTAATTTATTACACGGATATTTGATAGTGTTAGGTATTCAAATATATAAAAATTATTTGACATGCTAATTTTGTTAGTCAAAATACCCCAATTCCGAACCAAATCTTTTATTTCTTTTTACTTTATTTACTTTATTTTTATATCTACATTTATTTATTCCTTATATTTTATTTCTTATTTTATTTTTATTCATATTTACTTACATTTTTATTATTTTATTTGTATTACATTTTTATTTTTATTTGTATAACGTTAAAATTAGTTGGCTTTATTTAGAAATTAGCATCATGGTTAGAATGTTACGTCGCGATATCGCAGCTAGAATGTTAGATTGCTCAAATTCAACTTGCTTGTAAAATAACTTTGTCTTAAAGTTTTATAATAAAATTAACTTAGAAATTAGTTAATAAATTAGTTTTGACTAAATAAAACATTTTTCTTAAATCACTAAACCAAAATTATTTGCTAATAAAACTAATTCATTAGTAGCCAATTCATTCTGATCCACATAATCTTAAATTTTATATTGTTATCATCAATTAACACACTCTCCCAAACAATAATTGGTGACAATATCATTTTGATTTCATACAAAGTAATTTGGAATGTACAAATTAATTTGGGATGTATAAATTAATTTGGAATATACAAAGTAATTTGGGATGTACAATTAATTTGGAATGTACAAAGTAATTTGGGATGTACAAATTAATTTGGGATGTACAAATTAATTTGGAATGTACAAATTAATTTGGGATTTGGGAATTCTTCAATAGGCTTTCCAAAATTTAATTTGTACATTTGGGATGCCATAATCCCAAATAATTTAGGATTTGGGCGGCATCTATAGTAATAACAAATGGTCACATATCTGAATAAATTATATTTGTTGTTATATTAAATGTATTAAAAATGTTGAATGTTAAATTATGGTTGTGCCATATTTTTGTTTCAATGATCAACACATTTTGCCATCCATTTCTATAGTTGGCTTGGTCTAAAGACCTCCTAAATTTTGGACAATTTTTAAAAGTATAGAAGTCATTTTCTGTCTTACCTTTTAAAAAAATAGCTCTATTAGTTGATAGAATGTGCCTTTAGTTTTAATGTAATAGAAAGATTTTCTCAAAAAAATTGTTTGTTATAGAGTTCTATTCTTTTTTAAAACATGTACTTTACTATGCCCATGAAAAATTTGAGCATTATGATAATTGCTAAATTCATACTAGTTTTAGATCATCATTACTAAATTTAGACTAAAACTTGACCATCATATCTAAATTTGACAGTAAGGAAAATAAATTTTTAACCAAAATCATGTGAAGCCCTTTTTTAAAAAATTTTATTGCATTTTTGAACAAATCACAAAATCACAATTTTTGAAATTTGAGTACATGGTGTAGCAATAGGAGGTCTTTAGATTGAGTTAACCATACTAATAAAAAATTGATCTTGTTATAAGGACTTTTCAATTTATTTATAATAAGTCCACTATAAAAAGATAGTGGAAATTTGTTATAATGGACAAAAATGCCTGGAAACAAGTGTCCACTATAACAAGCTTTGACTGTGGTTACAAATATACAGTATGGAAAGAAAAATCTTGCCCTCTGTAAATTTGCAATAAATCTACAACCATTAAAGCAAATCATCCATAAAATGACTCATTTAAATCTATGAAACATATTGGTTTATTAAAAAAAATTAATAGGATATTCATTCACCATTTCATTCAATAATTGCTTCACAATATTTCCTTATTGATCCAATTAAATTTTTATAACAGGGTCTGGAACAATACATGAAGTCGAAATTAAAATTCCAAAGTCAAAATGTTTCGACTTGAGGCAACTACATAGTAAAAATCAGTTTCGACCTTATTTCGACCTTATTTCCACCAGATCTGCAATGGTCAAAATAGTTTCGACTTCATGTATATCTGGAACATCCTCCCACTCCTCAATCAAAAAATGTTTTAAATCATCAAGATTTTTTGGTCATAATTTCTCCACATTGGTCTTGATGATATTCCATAGGTTATATATGGGGTTGGGGTCAGGATTATTGGATGGTCAGTCAATAATCTCAGGCACATTGACCTGGAGAAATTCCTTGGTCACATGACTAGGATGCTTAGGATTGTTGCCTTGCTGAAAGTACCAGACACGTCCAAGTGTTTGTTGAACCTCAGGTAAGTGCCTCTAAAGTATTTCAACATAATATGGTCTTGTCATTATTTGCTGAAAGTTATTCCAGAACAACCGGAAAGCTGTTTCATCTGAAAAAAGGGTTTTATTCCAGTTTTCATCAAGATGAGCATGAGCCAATTCCTACACACATGCACTTGTAAACATTGTGGTTGCTAATGGAAAGTTGTTCTCATAACCCAAGCTATACATATGCTTCGGAATTGTTATATAGGACACACTAATACCTTTTTCAGTCAATTTAACTTCCAGTTTTCAGGAAGATAGAGAGTGATCCCATCTTAAATCGCAATTGATGTTCCACTGGTAGCTTTTTTAGGGTGACCATTACCTTTTTTAATTCAATGCTACCAGTTTCCATAATAGTTTGGAGTAGGGATGGTATATAACATGTTATAAACAATTTGAGGGGTATATACCATATTTATACCCGGTATATACCATGGTATATACCACAATTGATTTCTTGTGTAATTTT